TATATAACACAGTTTCAATGAAGAAATGTTAGGAATCCATCTAATACGATATTTTGGAGAAAGAAGACGTGTAGGAACGCCGCCGTCATCATATTTTTATATAAAACCTTTGACAATTTGAGTTTTTAAACGAAAATTATTCGGCATCAAATGCGTTTGATGTTTAGTCTATTTTATCAATAAATAATATATGTAGCATCTAAAGTTTGTTTGAAAGATTTGTTTCAGGCCTGGGTAACTTACCTAAAACGCAATAACGAAGTCCTTTCAAACGGGAAGGAAAGCCCTATTGCCCTCACACAATACTTTTCAGAAAGAGCCGGTTCTTTTTCAAAAACAAACATAGCATGTAAACTATAGTGTATTTTAGAACTCACAATCTCAAAAGATTTGACTAAGCAGAAATGTATTAGTAAAATCTTCAAAACACCTTTGCATTGCACTCCATGTGTTTAACACAAACTCTATCAGTCAATATTTTTCTGCTGTGCTGTTTGTGAAACTTTTGTAATATGCTGAATTGAAAATATTCCGAGCAAAGGCGTTCAAAAAAGGGCTCAGAAATCACATAGTAATCCCAGTCTCATCTGTTAGAGCAAAGAAAGCGCCACTACGGCGATTGGTGAATCCAAGCACTGCCCAAGGCCTGGAATGAGCTCAGTTTTGAAAAATAAGAATAAATACTTCCTAATATATATATTGGAAATTTGCACACTTAGTATGATATATTCAATTCGCATTAAAATTATGCTCTGAAGTATGTGAATAGGACTGTTTAACCTGTCTTCATAGATGGCAACCTATATGACATAATCATGTATTTTTTTTAATGCGAGTTATCTTCAGTCGTTTATCAGACAGAATGTGATTATCCAAAATTAGATTTGGCGTAGCCAATGTCGTGGTCGAGCATATTTTTATCTATGATTCGGGTGTCAAAAAGCCTGGCGTAAAGTGTAGAAAGCGTGGCTTGACCGCTGTATATTTCTCATATGTTTATCTGAAATGAATGGTCGTCTAGCATTGTTCACGATCATATCATTAGTCCAGATCTCAGTAGATTTTGCACAATGTTTTAACGCATGAATATGTGAAGGGCATAGGACAGTTGTATTTTTCGTCTCCTCGCGATGATTCCTATGAAGGGACGCATCCTGCTACACGTAAAAGAACTGCTGAATCGAGACAATGAAACCGAATCCTAATGTATATGTGATCTTTGCCCGTAATCTATCTGAATTTATCGAAACCAATCCGTTTTAGCATCACTAACCGCTTTGTGTCAAACAATAAATTTGGAGATTATTCAGCTATCGGATAAAGCAAACCTATTTTAAATGATACACTCCCGAAACTAATGTCAGAACATGTCATTTTAATCTAATAAGAACAAAAATTAAAAAAAAATCCTAGATGGATTTATTCGTAAGGTATTGTACTACACCTTCTAAATCTAAGATAAGTAAACTAATTAAATTTTCGTTACAGTCGGTTTTAATATCAGGTCACACTTATGGATATTAAGCGGAAGTTCATCGAACGACTGCAACAGACGAAGTCATCCGCCAGCATTATACTGTATACCAGGTGTGTCCAACCTGCTTTCGACTGATTTTTGTCATACACAAAAACGATTTAGTATACTGAATATGCAGATAACTGTATACACGCATACAAAAAATTCCATTTGGCTCTGTGAGCGCAATCGCCACCAAAATTTATATTTTTTATGTTTCATTCAATTTGATTATGTAACTGTACCAGGGTCAAATTCTCATCATTCATTAGTTGTAAATTTCTCAAAAAATCTTGCGAAGTATCCATATTATCTAAACAGCGAAAAATAAATATTCTCAAATCATAAATGTTAATGACTGCTCAAAGTTTAATAACTAATTTACAATTTCCTTCAAACCCGATTCTTCGCTCGCTTGGAATTAGAAAAATTGGTCATGTTGGGTGCCAATGTCTTCCTGGGAATAAAATTTATCACACTACTCTTGGGGTTAGACAGTAACTTTAGCATACTGCAGAAGTTTTTATTGGTTCGTTCTCAGTCAAGACACACGATATGCGGCACGTTCATATTAGAATCTTGGCAGTGGCGTTTGTTACGTAATAATATGCGCTATCGGGCTTGCTCAGACTCAAATACTGTGTATATCGTATTTTGCGCATGTACAGTACTATATTCGTTCTGTTTCAAAACACACAACAGGCGCTGCATGAAACTGGAACTCGAGATGTGGCGATCGACGTGTCGGCTGTAAAAAGTATCCACGCTTGGACTGATATGATACTATTTTTATAAACCTTTAAGTAATGCTGTAACATTTCTCATCAGCCTCGAATACTTTATATCTGAGTATTGTTCGGAAACATAAAGAATCCATTTACCAAATCAACAAAAACAATAACAGTGTAACCAATGAAGTATGGGAAAGATCAAAAACAAAGGTTCACTTAGTCTGGGAATGAAAGCTCTTTAGAATTATAAATAATTGTCTCGGGAGCGTTCGATTGTTATCATTTTGATGTGGTAATGGGCAATTTGGTGTTTGCGTTACCGAAATACGATACATATTAACAAATTCATTGTAAAAAGTTCAGAATAATGTATTGATTTCAAATCAATACTTTTCTGCTCATCAAAAATAAGAACGGACAAAAGATGTTAGCTAAATAATCAACTTAATCATTTTCTCTCTTCAGTACTTAATGTGTAATTGTCGTGTCTGAGTTTGTGTAGTTTTTAAAGAACACAACAGCCTAACTTGAGTGCAGGCTTCAGCCAAATTAAACAAAACGGCCTAAGGATTCGTAGAAGGCTATATTAAGTTTACTATTTACGTTCACTATTGGTAATTTTAATTAATAGTTACCAAATAGTTGAAACAACTTAAAATATCATCAAAAAGACGGAATTTAGATATAAAATAAATTAGTATATTTCAACGTAAATAAGAGCTATGACGGCTAATCAGACCAGCCAAGTCAACGTTCTATGCTGGCAAAATGTAGTCGTCGGCGGAGCAGAAACTAAACGACTCGTTCGTACACAGGATGATTTCCTCAGAGGATTTTTCACGTCGTCATTTAGTTGACATTTGACACTGTTTGTTCCTATTGGACACGAGGTGGACAGGTTGATCGTTTTGTTATTTTGCTGTTGTTAATCGTCATGTTAGTATTTTTCTTGTGAAAAAACAGCTTTTCTCATTAACTATTGAACCAATTGCTTTAAAATTTTACAGTGGTTAAGAATTGCATATATTTGAGCATTGCTCTCTTGTTTTATACACGAAAGTTAATCCTTATACGAAAAAGCCATTTCGGTGTGAAATTTAGATATACATAACATTACTGTTTTCATAGAAAGGGATCATTAACTTTTAGGCAAATGATCGAAAGGGTCCATCTTACTGAAAAGGCCGAGAACAAACTGCTGGGTTAGACAGAGCAACACTTGGCCCGCGAGCACGAAAACGCCAATAGCTTGTTGAGTGGCAGTATCTATCGACTTGTTAAATTGTTCTAGTTACAAGTCACCAAGTTTGAGATTTTCTACACCAGGATACCAGAAATGTACTTTAATGCAAAAACCTGCTACCGTTTGGATCTAGAAGCCATTCAGTGAAACATATCGCTATGGCTAGCTACTTCATTTCATATGATTGCGATGATTTTGTGGTGTCACACATCACAATCGCGGTGGACTGAATGTCAGCTTTAATTAAGCGCCGACAAACCGCATAACCTAGCCCTAGATAGACCCCTAGATAATTAACTGAGCCAAAAGGTTATTATTTGATTGGTAAATGTGCATTTCGCTTTATTCGTATCACCCCCAATGGTGATTGGTGAGCACTCGGCGTTCTTTCACATGCTCTCAATAACATTGCAAGCAAAGAAACAAACCACCAATACCTATTGCGTTATGAAATTTAGTACCCACCATACTATATGTTAAAAACAACACTTTGAAATAGTATTTTAGAGCCACCCTCACGTCACAATTTAGATATATATAAAACAAATCGCTTCAGCGGCTTGATGTTGTTTGTATTTGTCCGAGACCACGAATTCCGCACTATATTTTTATTGGTAGGTTAGTTATGTGCTGCCCTTGTGCTCTCAACAAATAGAGCCTGATCGACCGTCTTATCCATATCACTAATCTCTTATCGCTTGTTTGAATTCCTCGCGAGAACTTTGCTGCTTCGCTAATACTTCGCGCGACGGAACCGTCAACATCAACCAGTAAAGTTCTACGGTCGCTTTGTCGGGTGTGGATTGCCCTTTGGATATCATTATGACATAACAATTAATTATTGAGATTGTATTAGTTTAGAGGCGAAGTCGCTACAGCGGACAAAAATAGCTGGTTCATTAGAACATTTATCTTGCCCGACAACAGGATTTCGTTAAAGTGAAATAATAAATTGAGATGATATAATTGTTGGGCTAAATTAAAATTCGGATTGAATCTATCTTCAAAACGCAGAAACTCAATACTTTTCGTGTTTCACTAATTGAATTTGGTCTAATTGCTGAGAAACTCGGAATATTGAGAAAATCGATACACCTAATCGCGTTAACGGTGCCTCGCGAACGATCTGCTGTGATAGCGGCGTTGCGACGTTTTTAAAAGTCAGCATGTCGTAGACGTTTTCATTACATCGCAAGGGGTTCAGCCTTTCGGAGCAATAATAGTTAGTTCAGAGTACTATTTAGCAGAGTTGTGAAAGTGGATAAATACTTTGATTTCGTCATGCCAAAAGTAGAGCAGTACAATTGTACTAATAAGATAATTCACTAACTACTTCAAGGCAATTTCTTCTTTGTGTTTAAATAAACTATTCTCATCTACTTTGCTCAATTCGGGTTTTCAGACCAGTTCTTACCGTATATTGATTTTTATGAAGGGCCTTGTGAAAATGCAAGGCCATATTGCGTTTTCATCCGAAACATTGAAATACTCATGTGCGAAATTTTGGCTTCATTTCAGATTTTTACTAATAAACGTAATACGTCTGATAAATTTTTGTATTGGTGGAGGTAAAAAGACATTGCGAAATACATTTCAAGAAGTTAAATTTGTTTCGGACAAGTCATTTACACTTGGATTTATTATCTGCAACAAACTGTGCGATGGCGTTTACATGGGAGACGGTGGTACAAATCATCATCCTTGTATTAGCACTCCGGGCTCTACATATGGTTTCGGCGAACAATTCGTGCTCTGAAGTCCGCAGAAACTTTGTTTCAAAGCGGATAGGTCCGGTGAAAATTGTCCCATTCACAGCTTTTGAAGGTGGGTAGACGATTTTAGTTTCATTTTCTGGCAAAATAATTGAACTTTCACAAGTTGTTAATTGGTATTTTGTATTTCTTATTAATAATATCAAGTACCAAGAAAATTTTCATCTCTCTGTTGCAACTTCATATAGTACTCTAAACGCGTACAAAATCAGCTATACAATGGATCGACGGATTTCCCAAATCGGTTCGAAATAGAAGGAGTACTTGTTAAAACATAAATTTATATTATATATATGCGACTGATATCTTGGCATGAGCGTGCATCAGAATTTTTGTTTATCATATGTGTTTCTGGTATTTAATTAATATAGGTTACTTCACGTTATAAAATATACAATAGGCAAAGACGATGAACAATAGCGGATATATATGCTACCTGTATCAGATCCACTAACATTCAAACGTAACTACTCAAAGGTGAAACAATTTGATAAATCCAACAATGTTACTCTTTTATTCTATACGTAGGAGGAAACATGACAAATGCTCACTACTCTGAAATTGTGATCGAAATTATTATTCCTTACGCGTTAGACACGCAGACCCTACGTAGGTTTCGTGACTAAACTATACGTGAATTGTTATTTCTATATTATAAAAATAAATCTGCGATAACGAGCGCGTATATAAAGTGTAATAAAATAGATTTGAGGATTAGCTTTGCTGTAAAAGCAATGTAATTTACTGTATTTTTACTTTGTTAGTATGGCTTGAAAAAAAAATGTTGATAATATAGTGTAGGCAAAATCGCTATATTTTCCTTACTTTGTGGCGAGAGGTATTCAGTATTGTATTACTTTTTATTGTGTTGCAAAGCAATGAAAAACCGCTCCAACACGATAAGATCTCAGATATTCACACCCTGAAAATAGCTTGATCGTTTTTCATATAACGTCGTTAATTTTAGGGTGGAATGTCTGAAGGTGGCAATTATTGGGCAGTCGAAATAAACACTTCTTAAGAAAATTGCGCGGTCGAATTTTTTGCACAAATGTGCGAACTGTACACATATCTTCATAATTTTATTAAAACCATTGCCTCCAGCAAGATATAAAATGCAGAGTTATTCTAGCAATTACCTAAAATGCGTCACGACCAACGCAGATATAAAATGATTCAAATTTCACAGTCAAACGGGTATAATTTGCCTGATGAAACGAAATGTCATAAAGTTGTTGGGTAGTTTCAGTTGGTCCCATTGAACAGTGGCATGAAAAAACAATTGAAGCAAGTGATACTAAATTTTAATCATCATAATCTTATAATTTCATATATAAGAAAATTGAAGCGGCATTGCAAAATATAGCAAAATCGTTGTCCATGTGGGATATGTTTTCGCATTTGTTCCCCTTTCCTACGTGTCGTATATTACATACAGAAGTCTGAGAGGAAGCTTAAGATAAGATCCTTATCAATATTTTACTTTCATCTTTGGTGACGAGTTACTAACGCAACCGCAATTGTAATTTCATTATAACTGACCAAAATCATCTTTTAATATTTTTCGCGTTTTGTTGCCAGAGGCGCTCCGTTGTCGTGATACATTGAATTTCATAGCATAAATGTTTTGATCAGTTACCATGTTCTGTAATTTACTATGTGACCTACCTGCTTGGGACATTTGGAAGGGTTCGTGGTAACTTATTTTTAATTTTATTCTAATTAGTTCGTGTTTTTGAAAATGAATTCGATTCGATATCAAATATAGTATTATATAGATGTTTAATGCGCTTGAAAGTTTCATGATCACCCAGTTTAGTCTTCTGTTATAAAGACATCCCTCTCAATTATGTTCAAAACTGGTTTTGTGTTTATTGTGCCTGTGTATGTACTTACAATCATGCATAAAAACTGTCAAATGTTCGTTCCATTTCTATCTTTTAAGCGCCCAGTGTCATAAGCTAACACATCCAAGACGGTGGCAGATCATTTCAGGCCGGATTATTATAAGTCTTTTGATTTTTTCAAAGACTTGTTTATATGTAATCCCCTCAAAGAAAAGTTGCGCACTAGAAAATCCTGTAGAATCTAAATTATAATATAATTATAAATGATTTCGTTTACAATCGCAGAGGACGCTTGATTTACAAGAACTTGGGTCATAACGGAAAATGTTTAAATATGTTTACATTCGGAACCAATAAAGAAACGTATGGTCGACTATCCGTGGATATGTTTTATTATACCATTAATAAGTTTAAAACATGCCCCGATCATTACGCTTAGTTTTTATTTCATTTTTATTATTAATTATACTTATTTTTGACTTGATGCTTTATCATACTTCATCAGGGACATTTTTTCATCATCATATAGTTTCGTAATAGCTCGAGATCGATATACGCAAGGCGGCTTCATTACTTGTGTCTTGCAGTCGCATTCCGAATTGCAGATATAGAATAAGCCAAGTAGGTAGGAAATATATAGCACCTTGAGCGGGATACATTTATCGAACACATCATGGGACAACTATCAATCGCTTCGTTTTGCATTATAATTCGTGTAGGTATGCAATTATTAATAGAGAAAAATACTTTCTGTCTTCTACTCGTCCGATCTTTAATGGTGTTTAACACGACCAAATGAAATAATGATTTACAATATTTTCCCTATAGGTAGAGCGTACCTTAAACTAATCTCGTTTACCATCTCCTGTCCGATTTTGAGGACGAGTGTTTTGCTTTAAAAAAGCACTGAGCGCACATTGATTTCGCGCCTAAATAAGATCTGTTGATAATATTTGTGTCGCAAGTATGGCCATGCTTCATATGAGGCTGAGAAAATTCGAATGCTTGATAAGAATCTCTTTTGATTTGAATCCCGTATTGTCATACTTTGGTGAGTATTCATCTTGATATCAAGGTCCTTAAGAAATTTTCCCATTTTGGATATTTATGTTCAATAATCACCGACGACGAGAGGTAGCGATGACCACCATAGCCGTTAGTCTATGCTGATATTACAGTTAGTGAAATTGAGACTTGAAATCGATTGCTCGCATTGATTGCAATATAAGACGCATTTCAATCAGAATATAGAAATGCTGCATGCTACGCATCAATTCATGCGCTTTTGATTATGATTGCGAAACGTTAATATTAAAATTGCCAACACTCATTTTTTTCATATTTTCTCCGTCTTGGCTGACCTAATTAAATTACAGGGTTCCTGTAAGTATTATATATTATATTTGCCACTGAAGGCATCTAGTTTTCAATCTTCATAAAGCCTGTAGTTGAAGTGTATGTTTCCAGGGCCTATTAGCACTACTTTGCATGGAATTTTGATCAGATTTGTTTCTTTTATGGGATCAAGTTTTGACCGCCTTTGTATTACGCGGTTGACGTTGGTGTTGATTTTGCTTAGTGGGATTAGTAGTAATAGACACATTGGGCTACACAAATAAACGTCTCAACTTTGGCTTTGTTTAGTGTCAAGGTCGGCAAAGTTGTTTTATGGTCATCCTTGGATAACAGCGGATATTTTGTATACCGTATCTTGATTATCTAATTCCACATTTGTTTAAACTTGGCTTTTCGAATACTAACTCATGGCATTTACATTGTACCCTGATCAAGCTTGGCCTACCATCGATCGTTGATAGGAATAGATGAATGTTGCCATCTATTATTTTCGGTGCAATCTTGATATCTTGCAAATGGCCTGCCAATGGTCATTTCAAATCTCGACCACTGGCGCCATCATTTCTAGCGTATCGGGGTCAATTCTTACGCGATCCGTTTCTAAACATTAGTAAGCCCTTTACTAAAAAGGACTTCCGATAAAAATCTCCGTAACGGGTACAATATTACAGAAGAAGAGTTTGCCGCTTACTGAGTTGTCTCTGGTAAAAATAGTCTGTTTCAAGTAGGCCGGTCAACAAAACAATTACCCCGATAGGCGATTAGTGACCGGTGGCTTGGGGCGTTTTTATCACTATTTCATTTCTTTGGTATATTCTATAAAGTACCATCGATGTTGATTGTTTATAATAAGCAACTTGCAAAAGTGAATACGCGAAATTTTGGCGCGTTTACCATTTATAGTGCAATAATAATATACAATTGGCGAATTTCCATTTTGATAAAAACAAGCAAACTTTGCTAACTTCCATATCAGACAAGCGTCGCATGACATGTGTGGTTGACCCACAGCAAATACGCATGATCGGCGCCACACTAATCGCAATTGGCGACCTTAGGTAAACGAACTCGACAAAAACAGACGCCAACATGTATTGAGATTTAACAGGTATACGATAAAAACTATTAATGTGTATTTAAAACAGCTTACAAGTTATATATATTGAAGTGACAAAATAAAATATACAACAATGTGTTTGTAGTACCATGATAAACATGATCCACATGTAGATATGATTAAAATCCAGTTCTTTGCCAGGCATCAACTGTACATCAATCCCGATTTTTATGTAGACTCCAGATTATTTGCATACTAAATAATAGACTACAACAAAACTATAATAAATATACCGTGAATTGGCAGTGACACAATGAACGCAAAAGTATGTTTACAATTTGTCTATCCTAACACTATAGTTTGCCAGTTGTGTGAATAAATTTCCCGAAAAGCAATACCGCGCATGGATGTATAGTATTCATTTTGAATTGTTTTGCGTCAACCGCATATGTAAGAATACACTTATCTAATTACAATTTAATGTGCTGCATTGGTAATATCGCTGTAAAGATAGTGGTTTGGGGATATAATGATACCCGAGCACTCACTGACGATTTGAATGGGACTGCGAATTTCCGTCAATGATATTTTTTAAGTCTGTTTCACAAAATATTTTTTTATTCACTCGTCGACTGAAACATTCCAATGACTAATAATTTTGAAAAAGTGTGTGTCGTTATTCACGCTTTGTTAACCTTTCGTCCTAATACTCGCTGCGTACATGATAGTCTCAGATTTGTTACGATACGAAGTAAATGTTAGCAGTGTAAATAAAATATTGAATAACTTAAATTGGTCGCTCGAGGGATTGGTACAAGATTCACGCGCGTGGCCAATTTATCGCTTCTGCAGCGTTTGAAGTTTTCAAACTGAGACCCAGTCAGTCATGAGACAACGATAAATGAAAATCAGGTAGCACAATTTATATAGCACCTGATTGTACATGATTGAGTTAACTCATTTGAATTGGTTTATTATTTTTCTGGCACATATTGCTATGCTGGTAATTGAGAAATGGGGCCTGTAGGTTGACCGTAATAAATAAAGCAAACAAAAGCTCCCAAAAACCTCTCTTCGTGAAGTGTGGTTTTTGCGTTACCAAAAAGTACCCGAACTTTCCGTAAGCTGCATCAAGGCAAAACTAGAGATAAAACATTTCTTGAGTTAGATTTATCGCCGGTTCATCTGTGGTTAAAGAAATGTACGATTCCCGTTTGACAGGCGTGTTTACATATCTAAATTCTCTACGCTGTAGGAATGATGAATTTTTGTTTGCCTCTTCGCGCGTGGAATATAATTAATTAATGGCTTGGTGTACACATCTTGGCTACTGTTTTAGCCGCCCGGTGCGTACAAAAATATTTAAACACTTTAAATTTGTTATGTTATGTCTTTTAGTGTTGCTAACGCCTTTTAATGGAATGACACTTGTATAACGTAAACCTTAGCGGGTGGTCTAACACTTATACACAACAAGGTATAATTTGTGAATCAAACAAATACATATGCATAACACCACTGTTGCTGATAAAATCAAAGACAAGGTGCAAACACGGGACAAAGCGTGCAACAAGCATTTAGTATTTAACAGACTGATCTTTGTCTGGTTTTAAACTTACCTTTGAACTGTGTTATGCTTTACTTGTATACAAAATCCTCTATTTGTGGTGATTGACACTTTTGTTCAACGTTTGTTTTACTTCTCACTCGAAATGGGAATCTCCTCGGGAATCTGATGTATATAAATTCTACCAAATGTCACCCGACAAAGCGTAATAATTTTAATAAATAAATGAAATATAAAAATCACGAATGTGCATAAACCAAAGTCGGTAAAATAGAAAATCTCGAAGGAAGCTGTTGTTGTGCCCATCTAATTTTGACATTCTGAATTTTGAAAGTACCTTTTAAATCGACCATACGACAAATTACCGTAAAGTGCTTAGGAACCTATTTCATACACTCAGTATTAAAACATCGAAAATAATTTAAGATTTTTTTCTCACAAGCCGTTACATGCATTTCATAACGTTTAGAGGTTAGATGTGTGGACATTCAAAGATCCCGTCCATTTTAATAAATTTTGCTTCCACATCCATAAGCTGCCAATATTAATTTTCAATTTCCCCGCATAAATTCCTGGCATTAATTTTGTTAAATCAAAACTCACCAGCTTAATCCAATTTACATTTGTACTTATTGGGATTTAGGGACATTCAGTAGATTAGTACTCTGCTAATCTCAAGTCAAAATAGGGTAAATACTTTTTCTGTATTCGATTATACCAGATAACCGTTCTTTTGAAAACCGCTAATGGAATTTGAACAGCATTGGCAACATTTTTAGTTTTTTTGTTTTGTTTACGATTAACAAATGTCTACAACATACAATTGTAACCCTACGTTATTAATACCCATAAAAATAACGGTTAACCCGATCTGGGATAAATTTTAACGGAACCGTCTTTGTAATAGCAGTATCCGTTTATATGTGAGTGTAATCGTTCTTGGTCAAAATGGTATTCCCAAGTACATATTGGTAAAATGCGGGTTCAAAAAAAGCTCTATGGAAAACCGATGACTCTTGGAACAACAATAACTTAAATCGGACATTTATAATCTTTTAGTGATTTTTCCACCCAGCCTAGGGTATAAAATTAAGTCGGATATGCCGAACCGATAAAATTTCGACCAATCGAATCTTCGCTTTTAAACTCACTTCTTGGTTGTACTCCATTGTTGACCTCACAAAGGGTGTCAAGTATTTCAAAGCCGAAATGTTTTTGTCGAGCGTAGACTTTGAAAACAAATTAATATTTTTGACAGAAGTATGCAAGGAGGTATTTATCAGCATTAACTAAATACCGCCTAATAAAACAGCATCAATCGAAGGTAGAATGCTGCACGGGTGGTCTTGCATTATCATGCAATATTTGGCTGTGTTTATTTTTAATAAAATAAAAAAGTTATGATTTTCTACAGTATTGCTTAATGTACGTGATTGTTTTACAAACATACCTTAGCCAGTGTATTTTGTTGATTTACTATTATTTTCTGCAACTCCCTTACTATTGTCATATTCGATGTTTCCGAATTTTGAATGTTTATTCGTGGTTATTTGTATTCATATTTAAATGAAAGTGTTGACTTTATTTTAACAGCCAAAGATCTTCGTGTTTGTCCAATGTCCGATAGACTGACATGCTGCAACAGACAAATGGAGATCAGATTCATGACCGCTGCAAGAAATGATGTCTCAGAAGTATTGGAATACAAAACATTAAGCTTAAGATTCAACTTCCGATCGTTTTCGAAGAATTTTCAAGGTTGGTAGAAGTCGTTTACTAATTATTTTTAACTCTTGCAGTCTTGATGGTGGTCTTTAAAAATGCATCAACTCGCCCAGCGGAGTTTATTACATTCGCATTTGATAGTACTGGAATACAGTAGGAATGTCACCATACATTTACACCATGTCTCTCAGGGGTGATGGAATTGGAGGAAAGAATTACATTACCGGTATATAGATACTACGCCGTATACATATACCTTATTCAGTTATCATTTTACGTATATGTCTACAATAGCATCTATATCAAACGAAAATATGGAAAAATTAAAGGAGAAAATATATTTTAGATGAAATGTACCATGCTTTTTATCTAAATACATGTTTGAAATAATAAAGTAGTGGTTTTACAAATTTGACTCTAAATACAAAAAAAGGCTTTTAAACTGTCTGAATACATCTGCTTAGTGGGGTCAAGGTTTCCAAACACAATGCTTTGAGAGCAAAACTTAAGCTGCTATTCACCCCTGACGTTCATTATGGTGATGTGTTTTTGTTACGCTAAACTCATCGTCTTATGGTGAGAGATTTAGCAATTTTGTATGGGCGTGGTGAGGCTTAGCAAGTCACGACGTAGTAGTTGTTTTGTTTTAACGGGAAAGTTCCTCGAAAAACAAATTTTCTTAATGCTGATTGAACTGACATTTTGTTTTTATAACGGATTTTAACATTTGGTTTAACGTTTAACTTTAAGCCTGGTCATGATTGGATTACACTTGAAATGTATACTCCTCCTATAATCATGCTTACCTGAGAAGAATGTGAGCAAATTCTTATAAAATGGGATTTACTGTCGTTTTCCATATATATTATCTAGATGGAAATCTATGTAAAGCTAATTACATGTCTATAATTTAATCAAAAATAGTGAATTCCACCCGTTATGGTCTCATTCAATTGATGGACGCTAGCCTCAGAGTGATGACACTCGGTTTGTTTTCAGAGCTAAATTTCGAATCATGGTTTACCATGCTATTCATAGTAATAAATGTATAACTGGTCACAAGTAAACGATGTCTATATAGTTGTGTACATATAGTAACTTTTATTTTCAATTCATTGTCCTGATGAAGTATGTCTTTATGAACATTCGAAACATTGGCAAATTACATCGTTTGTATGTATTATATGCCATCGATATAGCTTTTCCACAAGTCCAATTTTTACCTTCATCAGTCAGTCCACGTTTTCCCCGAAGAGGAAGGCTCCCCCGTCGCTTGCATTTTCCTGTTGTATCATATGAAGCGAGTGTTGGTATTTACTTTGAATGTCACTTAGATACATAACCACACTTCATTAAAAAGTGTTTTCCGGTCTTCAAGTTAAATTGTATAAAGTCACGATTTAAAAGATAAGAGTTAAATATCGCTATCGGAATATTTCCGGATTATAATATTTGCAAGGATGCTTAATTGTTGTGAAATTTGAAGCATTTGACCAAATCACGTTTGCTGATTGTATCTTTTATGATATGGGAAATATGTGAAAAAGACATAAAGACATATTATGCTAAAATTGTTGGTAGTTTACTAACCAGATGGTATCTCACTTTAAGAACATATGAATTTAAGGCTAAATTTTCTGGCTCCACAATTGATTCGAGGCTGTGCACCTGATGAAAATCCCATAATTTTTCGGTTTATTCAGTTGGTTTCATCGTAGGTCACAATGTTAAACGGGGCAAATATAATGCTTGAATCTTTTACAAAACGGCTGTAGTTCAATTTTCGTTCGTACTGTGAACTGAGACCCATATTCATTCATGTAGAAATAACTAAAAACACAACGATTCGTTTGCACAACTTGCAAATCCTGTATACCTCACCACACTTCATTGTCGGGGTTAAAATTAGTTGTATTTTAGTGACAAACTAATAGAACAAAGCTGTGTTTATATTGCAATTGTACAGCTGCCCATTTCCGACAATTCATGATAAATTGACTCGTTATTATTTCAGATGAAAAATTCTTTTTTCTCCTTCTTTTTTCGGATTGGACTAATATTTAAAAATATACGTTATAAGAATCTGTGTGTGAAAAAGCATACTCCTTCATCCCGTTGTCCGCAGGCAATGTCGAATAAAATAAAATTTACCCCAATAATCCGGCGTTTGTGAATTAAACTGGCCTTTCGATGACTTGATTCATGGCGCAATTCCCCTCACGCAGTTAATAGATAAAACAAAGTCAAATGCACAAAACAAATATACAAAAAATTGAGCAATATACGCCGACCTAACATTAGAATGAGCAATTTTGTAATGGTCAATGTCAATAGCTGAAATTTCTAATGTATTTACAATCAAAACTCCGACTCAAATATTGTCAATGCGATATCCATACCCGGATTCGGAATAATTAATTTCCCTCCGAGAATCTCCGACCAAATCTCATTATGCAGAAGAAAAACCTAAATGTCGCCAATGATTGAATGTTTTTAGACTTGTGTTGGGGTCATGCCCTTGGTGTTGGGTGAAACAAGCATTCTCACAAAAACGTGTTACCCTTCATTACAATTATTCTTGGCAATGTATCAAACCCTCGAATCCAGTCCAGCACTCTTCATTATCTAGTACGATGGTGACAAAACAGGACTACTTAAAGAAATTTAATATTGGTTAATGTGGTATTGACTTTATATCGAACTCTTAAGTGGATTTATCGATAATGAAGATGAACGGGCCTGCTTGTATATTTATTATTTGAAACTCAAACAGAAATATACACTGATCGTCACTCCTTAGAGAGATGTCTTATTCATTATGCAAATAATGAAATTAGAGAAGTGTTTGGTAAAAATGAACAACTGAATAAATTGGATGATCCGAGCCAAATTAATAGGTTTTATTCGGAGAAGTTATCGCTTCAATATGATTCCGCCATCATGGACCTAATATCAACCGGAATACATGCTGATCTTTTTCGACCTAGTTCAAGTAGAAACTGTTTAAATAAAAATTACTTGTGAATAAAACAACAAAGTTGCGACCCAACAAAAACAAACATATAAACATCAAAAAAATCTGAACCCCCATGTGACATTTTCTCATTTTAGTATTGTGAACATATATACACAAATGTAACTTGACTTGGTCAGGAATCTTCAGATAATAATAATTTGTTCAACTGTTTCATCACTTTACTGCTGTTGTGCCCAGGCCGCGAATTCCTATCGTCGAACCGTATTACCGGCGTTACTAATGACCTAAAGCGTTATCTTTTCGCGTAAATGAAAAGTTTGTGTAAGGAACAATAGCAAGTTTATTTTACGGACATGTTTGTCAAACTACTCGAGTTTCCAGTCCATTCTATTTTACGAGAAGAAATACGCAAAACGTAACGGTCAATTTCCCGCGCCTAGTGTCCGATGTCCGTGTAGTAATGGTCAGTAAATAAAACCCATCCGTTCGCAAATTTGCACATTGTTTTTCCGCGAGATACTTTAGTGTCTTGATTGACAAACAGTCTCATTAACGTTGCAAGGCATTTATTTTAATTGGGATCCACTTTAAAGCGTATAAAAGTATATGAACGATTTTAGTTACTTCACCTATATGGCCGAGAAATATATTGAAGCGTACTCTTCTCTTTATGGATTCAAATAATGATGAATCTACATTACCCCGCTGCAGAATCTTTAAGTTTATTTCATACCACGTGCTGAAGTTACTAACATCCAACAGCATAAATTCTTTTCAATTAGTACTGTAAGTACTAAAATCTTTCCAACAAACGAACGAACTTCAACGTTGCCCAACTTATATTAAAACAAACGGAAATGTGTGCTAATAACACGCTATAGTAGGATAATGGTAACGCGAGACCGGTGATCGTGTAATTGAAATGCAAAGCACACAGTAGTAGGGAATTTCAAATATTCAGTGACTGGTTCAGAAAACGAATAAGCGCTCGCGAATAACGTAGCGGCAGCTAAAACGTTTCCATTCTTACTAAGATTTATACAATTTCATTTTAGTTTTTTCATCCGGACAATTGATGGCAAATCTGTCATAATTTGAGCCCCCTTATCTGACGAAATATTGTATAAAACTCTTTCCCATAACATTACAAGTCTTGGGAACTAGATTACTAATCGTGGTTTGATATTAGTTAATAGTCCTGTCAAGTCGAGATGTCTTGAGAATTGATAGAGTAGTCATCAAAGAAAAAGTACATTCATGTTATGTTTGCTGTTTTCAACAATTTTGGGTCATAGATGAGACGAGACGCAAATACACACGTTAGGGATAGACCACGTGTGATCGGAGATTATTGGTAAAAAGACATCCCCAATCCCAAAATGTTTCCCCAAGCGTCGATTTCTTCCATCATACTTATTGTCAATTGTACGGGTAGCTGGTATTAAATGACTGTCTAAGCTAAATAAGCGATAGTGCTTTGAAAATGTGTCGTGAAAATATATGAAATTCAACAATTCCAAAACATTTTTGCTCCTGTTCGAAACTTTTTCACACATTGGAAAATCATTTTCAGAATCTATCACGAAAAAATATTGAATTAGAATTTAACTGTTTGCAAACAGAAGCAGGGTTGAAGGAGGCACACATGCAAATTAAGAAGCCTGAGTGATGAAAATATTATTCCGTTAAAGAATATCACAATAAACCCACATTTTCTCGATATGTTTATTTTAATCTTCGGTTTTACGAAATGTCGTGGAGCAGAAAACATCCCAACTAATGATAGTGTATAACGCTAAACCCATCATTTCTCTCTTTTGTTGTTCGATCCACACAGGTGCGTAAGTTAATCCAGAGTCTAACACGCAATATATCCAACTATACACACTTCAAAGACTTTGTTAAGAAGCTTAGCCTACTGTGGGCGCGTGACGGCATACTGTATTCACGAGTATGGCTTATGAGCCTATAATGAATGGACCACTGATCATATTGCTATACTTTGTGGTTTAGCGTAATCAAAGCTCGGTTTATTCGACTTTTTGGTGAGGTTGAA